CTTTTGCCCCCCCCCCAAAAAAAATACCCCCCCATAAACACAGTGCTCTCCTCCTGCAACGCTCGGCCGGCTGTCACACTTTCTCTCCACCCTGCTGGGACACAGAGCAGCGCCCAGCCATTTTCGGCCCATATGTTTTGGCAGCCGCTATATCGGTGCATCCCTAATATTTACAGCAATGCAGAATGGCAAAGGCTATAGAGGACTACACATCCCAGCAATACTTTATATAACAATGGCAATTCTGTATAAAGTACTGCTGAGATTTGTAGTCCTCCATGAGGGTTACATTAGGCTACAAATAATAATTATTTTAATGATTTATTTACCCTTACCTCTTCTGTCTTCAGTTGTTCCTGTGTGTTTTCTGTTTGCTGGGCCCTCACTCCCAGAGGCGGCTCTAGACTTTGTGAGTCCTAAGGCGAAACTTAAACATGAGGCCCCATCTTACATATGCACGTATACATACACCCATATGTACAGTACACACATACATACAAAAATGCAAAGTCATTTACTCATGCATGCACACACTCATATACTCCGTTATTTATAGTACAGGTTTAAGAAGTCAGAACAACTCTAGAGATCTTCTTAAAGGAGAACTATGAGGTGAGTGATTTTCACTCATCCTCATAGTTCTAGCCGACCTGTGACATACCGGCGTTCGCTCAATTCTCGATCCTGTCTCGCTGACTGGCGGAACGGACGGGGGAGGGGGCAGGTACAGCTGGCTCTGCCTCTAGATAGGCAGAGCCAGCTGTCACTCACGCAGCACTCAGCCCCCTTGATCACATCTTCTTAGGTAGGTTGGCTGCTTCTCACATAACCAACACCTAAATTACATGATTTATTGTGACACACCTTTTTTCCATCCTCCAGCTTCATCTTCCTTTGTGGTTATCCTCATTCTGTCACATGATACCCCATAGTCAAAAGAAGTCAGTGTTGGAGCTTTAGCTTTGTAGCTTTAGAATGCCTACTATATGTCACTGACTGAAGATTCTAATATGATGACGTCTAAACAGTAAAGTATCTCTACTAATAGGCACCCACCCAATATACAGTATAGCATAACTGGCCCGGGTGGCAAATGATCACTGCCTCTGAGACAGGCCCGGCACTACCGCAAGGCAAGTCAAGCGGCCGCCTGAGGGCGCTGAAGGGGTGAGGGCGGAAAAAACAGGGCATTTTGACAAGTACTTGTACTTGTCAAAATGCACCGATGCTTGCGCTATGTTTTTCTTCACTTACCTTCGGCGCGGGAGAGCAGCAGCGAGTCAGCGCTACATAGATCATTGCTAGTGTTAGTGGTGTTAGTGGAAAGGGAGTGTGGTTAGTGTTAGTTTATGGTCCTGCTCAACATATTTTGCGGTTCTCCGTACTGTTACGGCGGGGGCGCAAAAATGCACCTTCACCTGTGTAGGCAAAAATCCTTGCACCGGCCCAGCTCTGAGCACTGCTCTTCATTTACAGAACACCAAGCAGGACCACCAAGTAGTTGCACCCTATATAAATCTGAATCACCTGTATAATGTAGGCGACATAGTTAAGCACTTTGCAGTTTTACTAGTATATCATAGTGTAAAAATGGCTTTAATATTAATAAAAGCAACTGATATGTACTCACAAATGACCAATGGTAACAGGCTTGTAGAGATAAGATTCCTAGAAAACTGAGGATGGACAAACAGATGAGGCTTTAAAATGCAGATGGAGAGCTCAGGTTAAGGAGAATGTGTAACAAGGAGGACTTAGCTCTCCATCTGCATTTTAAAGCTTCATCTGTTCTTCCATCCCCAGTTTTCTAGGGATCTTATCTCATCAAGCCTGTTACCGTTGGCCATTTGTGAGTACATTTCAGTTGTTTTTATTAACATTAAAGCTTTTTTGCTAGATATCCAGTTTCCCTGGCTGTGAGGAGCTGCCCCGTGTCTCTGGAGGTCTCCCTCTTTCCACAAGGATGATTCTAGTTGGCACCAGTGGTTGTTTTCTTTTAGTATACTAGAATATCAGTTTTAACTATGTTGCAATACATATTTTTGTGAGAGTAGGCACTAAAACCTTTTTGTGCATTATTGTGTACATTTTTTTCCTGTGGTATTAATAAATGGCGATAAGGTTTGTATAATTTGGGACTGTCCTAGTTTCTATAACATTCAAGGGTAAGTTATGGATACTGAAATTAGTGAGTCACATGTTTCAGGGCCCTCAATCCATTTAACTTAGATTTAGTAGTATTTTGTTTTATGCTCATAAACAATATTCCTGAAAGGGATGGTGGAGTTAATGAGGGTTATTCACTATTGACCCGAAGGATCCAGCCGTAGTTTTGGCTGATCCTTCGGCTCGCTTCGGCCGCCGAGCCATTTGGTTCAGTCGAACCAAAGAGCTGCTGTACAGGCTATTCACAATAGCCCGTACAGCAGCCGAGCGGCTAAGCCGAGCTGAAGGTATATGCTTCGGCTCAACTGAGCTGAAGTGACAGCCGACCTTTCTCCACACAAATGACAGCTGGGCGGGGCCAGCAGTGATCTCGAGGCTCGCTCCACCCAGTTGTAATGACAGATCAGCATCCCTAAATGACCTGGGGATGCTGATCTGTCATTAAACAATAACAACTGGGCAGAGCCGGCCGTGACGTCGCAGCCGGGTCCACCCAGTTGTTATTTATTGCCCGGGACCTGCTAGAAGACTCTGGCAGGTGGCGGCCAATAGGAAACAGTTGGGCGAAGCTAGCTGCTGATAGAAGCTTAACTGTCATGCTACTCAAATGAGCTAGGTCAGTAAGTCTTGTAGAAACCTGAAGATAACGAGAAGAAGTCACCAGCACTTAGTACTTGAAGGTGCAGAAGTACCCTCGTTTATTGAGAATATGTCACATCAGTCAAATAAGCCAACATTTCAGGGCTGTGCATGGTCCCTTCCTCAGGGCAACATTGTGACCTATCATCTGATGTGATGCATTATCAATAAATAGAAGAACTTCTGCACCTTCAAGTACCTTAAAGTACAGAGTGCTGGTTACTTCTTCTCATTATCTTATGTGGATTTACACATTGCCATCCATGATTGTCACTATGAGCACTACCTTATTTCATTTGGTCACAGCACTGTGTGGAGTGTAGCTTGCTTCTACACTTTCGTAGAAACCTTTTCTAGAGTCTATCTGAGATGTTCTTATGTAGAACTTACCTGTATTGTGTTGTGATTGTTTTTGTGTGTTGTCTTTACAAACTGCAAAATATAAAAATAAAATTGATTTTACAAAAAAAAATGCCTAAAAAGACATTAAGGCCTCGTTCACACCAAATGCAGAGCAGATCTGGTCAGGTTTCTGCACACGCACGCTAGTCTTTTAGACGCATTTTAGATGCGTTTTTGATGCATTCCGGGCTCTTTTTGGTTAAAAAAACAAATTCTTTTTTTTTAAGTTTAAAATGGGCTTTCAGTGTGTTCCAGGCATTGGCATGCGTTTTTTATGCATTTTTTATGTGTTCCAGAGCAGATCCAGAGCAGGTAAAATAGGGCCTGCTGCAGTTTTTTCACCTGCTCTGGATCTGCTCTGCAACTGCACGCTGCGATGTGAACTGGAGCAAAAAATACCATTGGAATACATTATACGCAGTTTTGATCCGGTCTGCACCTGCTCTGCTCTGGATCTGCTTGGTGTGAACAAGCCCTTAGAGCTTCAGAATCACTGGGGATCAATTCTCATCATGTAAAAACTGGCCAATCTACATCTACTATCCCTAAATCAATAGGCAGGAACAGGTAATATGCATGGGGCAACAAGGCAGTTTGTGCACAAGTACAAACATTTCAGCATAAATTCATCACTTGCATAGGTGTTCAAGGTTTTGTAGAGTATAATGAATAAGCTTGTCTTTAAACTGTAGGGATAGACATCTATGAGTCTGCAGTGCTTCCTCCTATTCTGAATCATGAATAGGTCTATGAGTCTGCAGTGCTTCCTCCTATTCCCAACTCCCTTTTCCAGCTGCTCTTTTTGGTGTAGGGTACATTTTATTTGTCTTGTGAGATAATCACATGAAATGTTTGGGGACAAGCTGGGTGGAGCTGTTCAAATTCGAATGCACTTCAAATGTGCCTATCAAAGCATACATTTGTAATATAGTCCTTAAGACATGGATGAAAAATTCACATTAGGTAATCATGCATCTTCGTATGTTGTTAATATTCATCAATATGCTTCTTTATTATATATGTAGGAAGGAATCCATCAAATAATATAACAAGTTGCTGTACATATGCTGAAGAAAACTAAAGGTGAAGGGATACCTTGGTTACACTCCTTTTCATCTGTGCCATTAATACAGTCCTCAATCCCATCACATATCTGAGTAGCATTGATACACTCTCCATCTGGGCACTCATATTCGGCAGGACACACTAAAAAAAATCATAAATCTCAGAGTACAGGTTTAAATATATAGGGGAATTTATCAAAACTGGAGCAGACAAAATCTGGAGCAGCTGTGCATGGCAACCAATCAGCTTCTGAGCTTTTATAACCACACAAGTAACTTGGTCACCTTAATACACTCACAATGAAATGTGTCAAGGCAGATATTGACTGTCAAAGAACATGGCAGAAGGTAGAAAAGTTTGAAAAACCACCCTATTCTAGTTCCTTCTAAGCCTGCATTCATTCCTGGCAGCTGTGCTACAATCACAGCGCATCAAACTGTTTACCTTTTCCCTTTCTAAAAAAAAACTTTATTGAAATGTCACAAGTGAAATTTCATTGAAGCTCGCTGGGCATAGTTCGGTACAATGTGGTTGTGCTGAGCCATGGTAGTACTTCTTTTAGCGCATACCACCAAGCATGGGGTTGTGAATTGTGCCCATCAGTGACAAGGCACATTGCCTTGTTTTGTGTTGGGGCTGCACTGGAAAATATGGCCAGCACAGCCCAAATACATTCAGTGTAATTATTGTGGTGTCACAAAATCTAGCAAAGTTGTTAACTGTATAGAAAACAAGAAGATAACCCCAATAGGGATGTACTCCTTCGGAATCAGTCAAACAAATGCAAAAAAACGCCAGAAAAACTAGTAAGATTCAGCTCCCTCTGCTCTGACTTCAATAGGGTTCAGCACTTTGTTCAGATTTTGCAGATTTCCCACTGGGTATGCCGAGCCTCCTGCGAACTGGTTTACTCATTCCTACTCTCTATTTGTCCTGTTCACCGTTGTCATTGAAACAGAAAATGATGACAAATCCAGAACAGGAAGTGAGAGGAAACTGTCCAATGGGGAGATCTGTGTCAGTGACAAATGTCTAAGAGGGGATTGTCCCTCGGTTTCTATTGTCTCTTTTGGACAGGAAGTGAAGTGAAATATCCCCAACAGAATAGACAGCAATAAAATCATCCCCTACTACTCTGTTTAAAACTAAAAACAGTAGTTAAATGATTTGGAGTGTAATAGAAGCCATCATAAATAACTGTGTATACTACACAGGAAACAAGGAATATGTAAAAGTATTATGTTGAGAAAATTGTTAAAGCAGTAGTGTTGTGCTTTGTTAAAAATATGGTTATAGCTTTTATTAGCTGACTCAAAATATGTTCATGGCAAGCAAGGAATACGTAGGATGTTGATAATGCAATATCTGAAAAGTCACATGCTTCTACTCACCACTAATGTGAGCATCAAACAAAAAATAGATTGAGAGGTTAGGAAAACAGCAAAGGAGATTTAAAGTATGAGTGAGGTCAAGAAATAATGTACTTGCATGCCCAGGAAATAAATGGGCATATGTGGGTGTACAAAGGTGTGAAAAGGGCACCATTTGATGCTAACAGTCTCTGTACTGTTCTTTCATCTGCTACTTGTCAAGTGGACAAATTTGCAAGCTAAAAGAAACACACAACAACAAATAAAAACGAAGTTTGATATCAAATGTTTGAAAGACTCACATTTAATCCAGATATGGATTTATAACAATTGGTGTTTGTACTTGCCTCCTGTAATCCCCTGTACATTGGCATTCAGATAGGGATCACTGGAGTGATTTTAGCAAAATTTACTGCTCTAAAATTTTATCTTTCTGTGAAAAGAAAAACTTTAAAATAATGAAACTAATAATGACTGTTTTTGCAACAAAAACAGGTCCAGGATCCGGTCCATTGCACCCTTGTAGCCACCAAAACCCATCTAAACCTCGCCTTCCCAACTGACTGCAACATGGCAAAATTTCACCAAATATCCAGACTTTAAACCAAATTTTAGGGAAATGAATACTCATCTCTACTTTTAAACTGGGAAAGGAATAGGGCAGCAATTGTATCCAAGCAAACATTAGTGTAATACACACTTACACTGCACTACATGGAAAACAATTAAGACTTAAAACCCAACTGAAGTATTTTACTTTTTATCTCTTTATAGTTTTGTACCAAACAGGTTATGATTTTTTGCTAGAAAATGATGTAAAATATCTTTCTTTCTCAGTAAAAATGCTGCTCAGTCCCCTCACACTGTGGTACCGTATGCTCACAGAGCTGAGTAACAACCACACCCCTCACTGCTAATTTGTTCACATAGGCTTGTAATGCAGAAAAAGAAAGGAGCAAGTCTGACCAGGTCTATTTCATTACAAAGAGCAGTGAGTGTAACTCTTGTACCTATTGGAGTGCACTGTTATATTTAAACACTCTGCGTGGCTGCTGTAACAGAAACAAGCGTGGAGGTAAATGAAAATGGGGGCTGTTAGCACAATGTTTATTAACTGAATCTCTATCACAAAAAAACTCTTGGATGATCCCAAAAACTCTTGGATGATTTCCTGAGGGACCGTAATATACAGGGGTACAAGTACTCATAAGAAAGAGATGATGCGCGGACCTATTTGGGTTGAACTTGATGGACTTTATGGTCTTTATTCAACCCCAAATACTATGTAACTATGTAATTATCTTTGTGACTTAAATTGAGCATTAAAATTTAGTTTTGCCCTTAATCATTTTTACAAGAGCTGAACTTATTCCTTTTACTCACCACAGTTTCTCTCATCTAACCCGTTTGGACAATCCTTGACACCATCACATAAAGGAACGCACATGCCATCAGTGACGCATAGGAACTCCCCTGGACAAGCTGAACAAAGATTCAGAGATGAATTTACAATGTTTGGACTATAGAAACAACTATATAAAGCGCAAACTGTAGTTAAAATAAAGTTTAGAATAAAGTTTATATTACACAATGCAACTCACGGTCTGTCAGATTGTAGAGGCTGTAGGAGGCCTGTATCCCTGGGCCAGTTAGTGATCTTTGACAGGAAAATGTTACTGTGAGGGTATTTGATATCCCTTCAATCCTTTCAGTGTATGGCCTGAGCACGGGTAGCCCACATTTCCTATGGATTAAAAGTGAAATAGTGAGTACCACTTTTGACATAACCCTAAAGTGTATTTCCACTTTTGCAGCCCAATTGAGATAACACCTATTTTATATTAGTTACATGTCCCCATTCACATAGAATAAGCTAAAAAAAATAAGTTGGGTTAGGGTTTATTGACTTCATAAGGGTTAAAATGTCTACTTGGTTTCTCCTTTTTTGTAATGTTAGGAGGGGCTGTGAAGGGGGCTAAAGGATTACAACCCTGGCATCTGCATTTAAATTTTAATGAAGTTAATGGGAGAAATACAATAATCAAATTTCAGTCCTAAGTCTTTCTATAAGGGCAGATCACTGTGAAGGTGCTCAGAAAAGCCTGGAATCAGCAATGTTGCCTGCTGCAACAAGACATCTAAAAGGTAAGACATTTTTTGTAAATATTTTTTTGCTGTGTGAATAAGAACACGTAACAAACATATAGGTTTTCTCAAATGGTAATGCAAAAGTGGAAATACATTTTAAAGTGACCCTCACCACAGTGGCAAAATGTCTTGTTACATTGGTGTTCAGTGGTCAGTTCCAGGATGATCTTGGATAACAATGGTTAATTTTCTCAGGCAGCAAGACTCTGACTGTCGAAGGGGCCTTCTCTGCTGTATGCCATAAGCGTGATGTCCTCCCTGATGTTGCTTGCATATTTCCGGCATGGCATCAACTTTGCAGTGACTTCGGGCACAGTGTCATAGAGCCTGTGCAGCTTTTTTAATAAACATTACTGAAACACCCACTGACCACCATCTACAGGGGGTACTGATCACTAGACACCAATTATGAAGTTACATTCCACCAAAAGTTATGTGGGCCCTCATCGCTGATCACCAATATTTAGGGGGACAGTTATCACTGACCACCAGTGTAAGGTGGCACTTACTCCTGACTGCTGCGCTACATATGCCTAACCCCTGCTCTCTGCTCTATTTACTGTATATGCTATATTGTACATTACACAGTCCTGACCACTGCACTCTATACGCTGTATTGTACATTACAGAGAGGGACCTTGATTATAAGATCTATACACCCAAGTAATAAGCGTAGAATGCAGTCACTGGCCATGGTACTTTTATTCACTGAAAGTATCCTAGTCAGAGTCTGGCCTGTAAGGTCTTTAGACCCATTACATACAGTGATGCCCCTGCTGGAATGAACCCCTGGAACCTCAAAGGCTTCGGTGCAACTGCACAGGCACTTTGTCTGCCTCACCCGTATGAGCATTTTAAACAAAATACAAATATATAAAAAGATTAGTCATGTTACCTTCGGTTGTGGATGTTCCACTGTCCCTGAATACAAGGAGCAAATGTATATTGTCCGGCCAGCATGTATCCTTCAAACCTCAGAGCGACTCCATATTCATGAGATGGGACCTAATGCATAAGAACATCAGATACACATTTCAACATATAGACTGCAGACTGAGGGTTCGTAATGTTTACAATTTCAGGAGAACTTTCATGTAAATACATTTAACTACCGTAGTGCATCTCAAATCTTCATAGTGGATCCACTTTTGAATTTGATCAAATCTTATTAAAAAATACCTATACCTGTTCAATATTCTCCTGAGAGATGGTCCATATCTTTCAGAACAAAGATTTCACCTTTCAATGTTCAGAAATGTTTGTCTAACTTTGCTAAACATATTGCTAATCAAATCTGGAGGGAGCAAATTTTAAAAACAATCTACTGATCCTGGCTGCAATGCTTTACTGGCTCCAATGTAAAAAAATAATAAATGCAAATTTTTTCTTTTATGAAGAAGTATGCATTTATTATTTTATTTCCCACAAACTGGACTTTGACTTTAAAGAAGAAATCCGAGCAAAGTTTCTTAACCCCTGTAATGATGGGGCTACCCCCGCACTGCAAGGGCTAACTGTTTGTTTTGGTTTAGGGGCAAAATTTAAAAAAATATACTCACCGAGGCGGCTGGCTGTTAGAACGGTCCCTCCAGCCTGTCTCCTCCGCTGCATTGATGGAATGTTCCTCGGTGTCCTATAGACAGTGTATAGGATGTGATGGCACACGGGACCTTAGACCACTTATCCCTTGCAGTGAGAGGGTAGCCCCATTGCAAGGGTTAAGATACATTTTGCCCGGAGCTCTTGTTTAACCACTCGAAGACCAGGGTGTTACACTCCCTTCCTGCCCAGGCTATTTTTCAGCATTCAGCTCTGAGGTAATTTAACTGACATTTATTCAGTCACGCAATGCCGTACCGAAATTAATTTCATATAATTTTTTGGGACAGATAGAGCTTTCTTTTGGGGGTATTTAATCTTTGCTGGGTTTTTTTTTATTTTCTACTATATAAAGAAAATTATAAAAAAGAAAAATTCTGGGAAATTGTTTTCTCTATGTTATATTATGAAACATTTAATATTACCCATTTTTGGGTAAAATATAAAAGATGGGGTTGTGACGGGTAAATAGATACCAAACATGTCAAGCCTTAAAATTGCATGCTCCCGCGAAATTGCAAAAAACTACAGTACTCAAAATTGCCCATATGCGATGCTTTAAAAGCTTATTAAAACTGCTCATGAATTAAAAGTGAATTATTGCTCGCACTCTGACGTTGGCAGTGATATGTAACATGTGTGGCACAATTGTTTTTGCACATAGGTGCTCCCGACCGGTGTTTACGTTTGTATGGGCAGGAAAGTGAGGGATTTTTAAAAATTAAAAAAAAAAAAATATTTTTAATGTATTTTTAATTTTTTACACTTAACTTTATTTCTATCACATAGAGGGCTAAGAATTGCAGGGGCACATGCACAAGGACAGGAAAGAATGTTTAAAAATGCCCACCCGTCGTTAAAGGAGAACTATGAGGTGAGTGCTTTTCACTCACCTCATAGTTCTAGCCGACCTGTGACAATGAGACTGTCACAGGTTGGCTCAGTAGATCGGGAGGTGAACGAACCCCCCTGCGTTCGCTCACCTCTCAATCCTGTCACAGCTCTCTGCTGTGACAGGGGAGGGGCTGGATTCCCCTCTCCCCGCTCCGATCCGCCAGCGCTGACTGGCAGAACGGACGGGGGAGGGGGCGGGTACAGCTGGCTCTGCCTCTAGATAGGCAGAGCCAGCTGTCACTCACGCAGCTGGGTGGATCCAGACATAATTGTCTCAGTATACCGCAAGCAGTAGCTCGCGGTATATTGCAGCGTCTCAGTATACCGCGAGCTATACTGAGCTTAGGGTGACGGGAGGACGCTAGTTTGTGTCCTCCCGTTACCCTAAGGAGAACTATGGGGAAGAGCCTTAACCCCATAGTTCTCCTTTAAGGGTCTGTCATCCAGCCGATTGTAATTATAGGGGTTAAAGTTTATTTACACTTTTGCAGCTAAATTGGGATAATACCTATCTCGTGTTTGTTAAGTTTCCATCCACATAGCATAACTTAACTTAACTTAACTGAGCTCTCTAGATCTGAGCGGGCGTCTCTAGACGTCCGCTCAGACACGCCCCCTCGCGCGCACGTGGTTAAAAAAAAAATTGCAGCTTGCCCTGTATAGACGTTTTTTTCTGTAAACTGCAATTAAAAAAAATCCTGCTTAGTTCTCTCCCTTTGAGGGGGTTGGGATGTTTTATTTGCCATAATTCACCCTGTCTGTACTGTGCTGGCAGATTTCATTATCACTTGATGAGCATGAAGGTCTGTCCTAACAAAGGGTTAAAAATGTCAAGGCATTGTATGTTAATGATATAACAAGATAAACAGCGCTAGGAGTTCAATTAGCTGTATATCATACAGGTGGCAGTGATTTAAACCAAAATAGTGTTTCCTTAACACATTACTTATATTAAATACTGCAAAGTCAATGTGATGAATTTTTAGTGTATCGTGTCAACACATCAATATAAATAAATAAATATTGTGATGTAAAATACAAGCTGCTGTATTAAAGGCCGCTGGGTCTGAAGATGTTTAAACCAGCGCTAGTAGGTGAATCAAAAACCATATAGTCGTGTTTGTGAACGAATTAATTGTATGTTAATGCACTTGAACAAACTGTTCCTCAGTTTGTCCCCATATCTGATCTCTTTCATGTATTCTAATCACTGGAAGCTGCCTGTAGTGTCCTATGTATATGTATGCTCCATACAAACAGCTAAAAGAGGTAAGAAATATTTATTTGATTATGCTGTGTGAATGGGAACACATAACAAACATATAGAGAGGCTTTCTCAAATTTGACTGCAAAAGTGGAAATACACTTTAAGCTTCCATCCTCATAACATGGGAATGGGTGAACATGACAGGTGTAGAATATAGAAAAATGTTGCAATAAAAAATAAACTAAACATATGTTAAAAATGCAGTTTTGTACTCACAGTAATATTCCAGGTGCACATTGAAAACGGTGGGAAGTAACTGGGATAGTAAAGTGTCCTCAGATAGCCCTGGACATGGAATCCTTCCTTTAGTATAATATTTTCTTCACAGGCTGCAAATAAAATAACTGGCTGAATTTCCAGTTACATAATCATAGGAATATGTTCTCAAAAGTAATGTAAAAAACAGGAATTAATATTCTGCACAGCAAGGTAATTGAGTTAAAATAATAACGTTAAGCTCATTTTCAATTTTCGGATCCAGTTGTCTATAAGTTAATTTCATATTTTATCCTTCAATAATGTCTTTATACACTGGAGTTTTATATATATCATTAACCCTCGTTTTATATATATCATTAACCCTTAGGACATGGCTGAGCACCCCATTTTTTGTGTAATTGTGTATGTACCTTGATGACGGGGGAATTCTCTGGGTATTAATTAAAGGGGACTCTTCAATTTACTGTGTCTTATGTTAAATGACTGGGGAGAAAATATTATACATTTCATACTCCAAAATAAGAAAGCTAAAAGTCTACAAAAAATGTTACATAAAGCATCATTGGTTAAAGATAAATCCCTGAACTGCACAGCCGCACCCCATTTCTACATGGGCACAAGCAAAACACGGTCTTGGCACGTTACTGTAACAAGAAATGGTCATGTACCTGATTTTCTGTTTAAGTCTCGTTCACACTTGCTGTGCATGTTAAAGAGCTCCTGTACTTTTTCAAGCTACAGGCATTATGCAACAAGTGACAGAACATGTGAACAGAGGCCCACTGAAAATGGGATTCCTCCATGAATGTTGTAGCGCTAAGGTGTTTTCAAAAAGGGTTTAATAACATTTGTCAGGTGGTTTTTAAGCATTTTTCTAAGTGTTTTTCTATACATTATCAGCTTGTGCTCTCCTCCATTTTCTCCTCAGTGTTGCAAAGAGGAGGGCTTGTTCTTGTGTGACAAACGCACAACAAAACACCTAAAAAATGCTAGAAAACACTTGTGTCGCACATTTACAGGTGTTTCCCTTGACGTCTATGGGGCCCAAAATGCAAAAATATGCAGAAAAGTAGCTCACATATTCTTTCCAGCCACAGACGTTTTGCTACAGGTGACAGGACACTCATATATGGACAGGGGCCACTGAAAACAATGGAAATCCTCTGTTTGACCTAACCCTAATTGTAGTGCTTAGCCCTACAAAATGCCTAGGTGTGATCAGGAACTTAGGAATTTGAGCTTCAAAATGCTCAGGCATCACTGTTGTAAGGCTTACGACACTGGCAACAGGGGCCTGTAAACAGACTCCCAGTTGCCAAACCAAAGGGGGTTTGTTTACAGTCCAACCACGGACTGTCAGTTTTCTTGTTGAAGTGTTTTACAGCCTCCGATCACTTCCACTGCCTGCCCCTTCCCCCACCTTGTTGCCTTATGGCAAGTGTCAGCAGGGAGAGCAGAGGAAAATCAGTGAACATCCATTTGCTGATTGTTCCTGTTTAGAACGAAACCAGAAGTGTTGAGCTTTACTTCACTTCCGGTTTCAACGCTGTCATTCCTTGGCTGTGCAGGGAAGAAGCTAATGCAACATAATCTGTGTTCCACTAGCTTCAGATAAGTATAGAGGTGATTTTAGAGTTCTGCAAAGGCTTTGTGACAAGTTTACAGTCCTGTGCATCTTTTTTACTCCTAGGCAGCCAAGTGTGACAGTTTACAAAGTTCTTAGATGGATTTAAGCACTGCGAGAGAATAAAACCTGACCCTGACCACTTCTTAATTATGAGACTGCTTAGAGTGAACATCTAGTACATGTCCTTTAAATCTGTAAGTTGTCACACTTTAAAGCCCAGAAATACAGGCTGCTGTGAAGAGTTAAGTTTAAGTTGTACGGTGCTTTTTCCTATTGCCCGGCACCTGCTACTGTCTTCTAGCAGGTCCGGCCCCAATGAATAGCAACTGGGTGGAGACGGCCGTGACGTCACGGCTGGCTCTGCCCAGTTGTTATTGTTTAATAACAGATCAGCGTCTCCAGGTAATTTGGAGATGCTGACCTGTCATTACCACTGGGCGAAGTGAGCCGTGAGATCCACCCAGCTATCATTTGCGGGGCGCACGGCCGGCCCTTCGGCAGGCCGTTCTCCACGTTTCAGCTGTCACTTCGGCTCAGTCGAGCCAAAGCATATGCCTTCAGCACAAGCTGAGCCGCACGGCCGCCTTCTGCTGCTGTACGGGCTATTATAAATAGCCCATACAGCAGCCCTTCAGTTCGACTGAATGGAAGAGCTCCGGCGACCGAAGCTACGGCTGGATCCTTCGGCTCTTTAGTGAATAACCCCCTTAGTCTGTTCCAAAGGACAGACTCACCTTGAGTTTGTTCACAGCAGCTTATATACTGTATGAATGGAACACATAACAAACATATAGTGGGCTTTCCCAAATTTGACTGCAAATGTGGAAATACACTATAAGGTTTATTTTAACTTTGTTATTTGGGGCTTAAATACACTTAGTAACACTATTTAAATGATAATGCTTATAATATTTAAGACCATCTGTGTTATATCCATCCAGTTGCCATTTAATATAATTAACCCTTTAGTGCACCAATGGTTAGCTCTCTCTAGTTTCCTGTCCCAGATCTAATAGTTTCATTCTTCTGCTTTCCATCCCAATTCTGCTCACTTTTGCTAGGCACAGGCTGTACTGTGAGTATGAACGGGTCATAGTAGCTGTACATTCCCTGCTTCCAGACAACCAGCATTGAGCTCCCAGAAGATAACACTTCGGACACTGGCTCCGGTCGGCTGCAGCCATAAAACCTAAAAGAGAAGAGCAGAAATACATTCTCAGAGGACAAGCATAGAACTTGTTAGCTTTTTTTTTTTTTACTGCCTGTGAAGACACTGCAAGCACTTCACAGCAGAAGTGGCTGACTGTAATTTCTGCTTATCTAACATTATGCCTGTGCGTTGCCCTGCCACACACTGGTAGCCTACTTGCATAGCATAGGCTGTGATCTGCAGCACTGTTCTCTATGTTGACACTGCAAACAGGTAATTTTTTACAGAAAGACCACATATTACAATGTCAATGGGGTTGACTTGTTTCAATATTCAACATACTCCTATGTCTACTAAGGATGTTGGCTTAATGGAACCCTGTCATTAGAGAAATATAAAGATGTTACTGATGACTTCCGTTTAAGAATAATAGTTCCCTGGCTGTCTCTGGCTTTATTACTGCACTCACTGACCTGAAACAAATATACTGATTAGCATCCACTTGAGAGTGTAATTGTTTTACCAAAAAAAGTCAGCAAAATATAGTACTGACTCAACGCACATTATTTAAGTACATTTACTAGGCCTGATTTTAAAACAATTAGAGTATATTATTTCACAGAAAAAAAGCCAGCAAAATACTGTGCTGACCCTGTGCACAGTATTTGTTCATACATTTACTAGGCTGCATTTTCACAGGGAGACACTAGACAGCTTTTAATCAAGATATCTAAATCAGAGTGTATTGTTTCACAGAAAATGCTTGAAATACTGTAATGATTCCATGCACAGTATTTTTAATAGGCAGCAGTTTCACAGTGAAACATCAAGCATTATTTTACAGGCAAAATACAGAAATATTGCACTGACTTATGATTGATATATACTATGAAAGCAGCTTTACTAGGCTGCATTTTTACAAGGAGACACCATTTTTTTTAAATCAAGAAATTAAAACTACTCCATATTATTTTACAGGAAGACAATGGACAGATTTATATTCAAGAAGTCAAAATTAGTGTGTATTATTTCACAGAAAAAAATAATATTATAAGTAATAATGATAACCCCCCACCATTATTATCAGGCACTGCAATAATAACCCTCAGTATTGATGTTAGTTGCCACAAGAATGACCCCCAAAATTGGTGTCAGTGTACGCAATAATAGCTCTCAGCAGTAATGTCAGTGGCTGCAATAATAACCCCAGATCTGGTGTCAGTGGAAGAACTGTTACCCCTCCGCCCTTTATCTGATAGTTATGGCAGTGCTGTTAACCTCCCACCCCTTCTTGCATTTCTAGTCAGTGCTAGTATTGTTAACCCCCCATCCACCTTGCATTGCTTGCCAATGGCAGTGCTATTAACCTGCCCACTACAGTTGTGGTCAATGGCAGTAATAACAACCCCCCCACCCTCCCAGGCATTGCTGGTCAGTTGCAGTGCTGTTAACTCCCCTTTCCCCCCCGCATCAGTGGTCAGTGGCGGTGCTGTTAACTCCCTCCTGCACTGATGTTCAGTGGCAGTGTGGCTATCCTGCATTGGTTGTCCGCATATTAGAAAATAATGGGTATTCCTGTTTGCACCCAGTGGCAGGAGAGCAAAGGTAAGTATATGTTGCTGAGAAGGGTATCAGAACCTGTTGGTTTGACATGCAAGTAAGTACATTTTATATGTTTATACCTTTTTAATGTAATATTTTGATATGTCTAATTGCCATATTGTATTTTCTCAAATGGAACGCTTTATTGAATGTCCAGAAATTTTTTTAATGTTTTAATGCAATAAACTTTATTGTATATTTTCCCTGGATTACCATATTGTAAACAGCAGGGGGAGCAAGAGTGTCAAATTAGCACAGAGTACAAAGGCAGTGTGAAAACAACACCCTGCTATGAGCTCAGAAGGATAAGTAACCTTGTACCATTACTGCCATGCACATTATTGGAGTAAAGCACAAACTGTTCCATAAGCTTTTTGCATGGCATAGTACAAACTGAAACATTTTATCTGTCACCTTGGCAATAAGAGGGGATATTGCTCTGCAATTCTGGATGAGTTGTTTATGTGCAAGCCAGGCTTGTATTTACCATACACCTTCTGTGAATTAGTGGTTAGGGCAAGAAAGGAAGGCCACAAAATAAATAATTTACATTTTTTAGTTGAGTGTTTTGTTTTATTGGGCCACCTGTTAACACTTGTGTCAAGAGTGATATTGAGGAGTGGCAGGTTTACATAGTGGAGTCAGAAGATGGTCTACTTGGAAAACATAATCTGCAACCCTTATTTCTGTTCCTGTATCACTAATCACATATAAACTTACAAGGAAAGTCTGAATCTGATTGGTGGATGGGACTAACCTCCTAGTACTGACATTTTTTACACGAATCTATTAGTATAAATCAGACACCAACGAGCCTACAGCACTCCTGCATCACAAAAAAGGGGTTCTCAGATCCCCAGAACCCCACCATTAGACGGGGTGGGTGAGGTAATATTATTGCCACTGACCATTAGGCAGGGGGAAAGAAAGGTTGTTTATATTACTGCCACTGACCATCAATGAAGGGAGATTTATTTTTGTTCCTACTGTACTGATTACCAATCTTGGGGGTTATTATTACAGGTACTGATACCAATACTTGTTGTTTTTTTTTGCGGCTACGGATATCGGTGCTAGAGATTATTATTGTAGCTACTGACATCAGTGCTAGAGGTTATTATTGTATCCACGGACACAAATGCTGGGAGTTATTTTTGCTCCAACTCACACCAATTTGTGGGGGTTATTATTACATTTAATAAAAATAATGATGGGAGTTGTTTCATCCACCGACACCAATGCTGGAGGATATTACTGCACCACTGACGCCAATGCTGTGGGTTATTACTGCACCACTGAATGTGCAATAATAACCTCCATCTTCTTATCTGCAATTCCTTTAACATGCTTGAAGTTACTGAAATCTGGCTTCAGGAATCCGACTCTGCCTCCACTGCTGCCCTCACCCATTGTGGCCTCCACTGGACGCACTCACCCAGACCGAGTGGGGAAAGGAGGTGGAGTGGGAATCCTTCTATCCCCACAATGCACTTTTCAAGTTCTGCCTTCACCTCCCGCTCTATCCCTCACCTCTTTTGAAACCCACTGTATTCACCTATTTTCTCCAATTTCGCTGAGGATTGCTGTTCTATACTGGCCGCCTGGACCGGTATCTCACTTTCTTGATTACTTCTCTGCCTGGCTACCCTACTTTCTGACTGCCTTTAGACGATCCCTTAAGACTCATCTCTTCAGGGAAGCCTTTCCCACCTCAACCTAACCACTCAACCATCATGTTCTCAAACAATTCATCCCCACGCAGCTCCCTTCTCATGTATAACTTACCCCTCATGGGCAGGGCCTCTTTACCATCATGTCTTGAATTGTATTGTGATTGTAATGTCTTCCTTATATTGTAAAGCTCTGCGTAAACCGTTGGCGCTATATAAATCCTGTATAATAATAATAATAATGCTGGGGGTTATTATTGCACCATTGATACCAATGCTGATGGTTATAATTGCACACTGTCACCAATGCTGGGGGTTATTATATCCTCCACTAACATTAATGTTGGGGGTTATAATTGCACCACAGACAATAATGCTGGGGGTTATTACTGCACCACTGACACCAATGCTGGGGGTTCTTAAATGCATTTATTGACTGTCAGGGCTTGATTTAGTCCAACTTTCTCTTCAGTGTACCCCCTGGCCCTATTTTGTCTAAAACATAACAAAGCAAAAGGGGAAAGGTGCCACACTACAAGCCATATGCTATCCTATTCTCCAACTATTCAAAGTGTCCTTCCTAATTATTATCAAATGTTGCCAACTATGTTGATGTGACATAAATGCAGCTGGTTACTGTGATTTATTGTTTCTTTAAATTATAAACCTGTAGGCTTGCAAATTAGGTAATTAGAGGTTTAACTTTGCGGGCTTTGCTTTAATAGTGATCATTAAATGTAGCCTAACGTTAAGCACTGAAAGAACAGCTGGTGCCTCTTTACCGAGACAATAAGAAATATATGTCACATCACGCCAGTAGAGACAGCCTCATTTCCTTCATTCAAGGAGAAGTAGCATAGCATATTCAATGTTGTAAATAGATTTCAGAGTAGTGTGTATTATTAGCTGAGCTAATTCTGTCAGTTTAATGATATTCACCGATTGGAAAATGGCCAGACGTTTTGGGGTTATGTTAATTATCCATTTTTACTGACATCTGTAATTGTCATGCTCCAAATGTTCTGTGCCTACAGATAAATATGATATATATGAATGCAGTGTTAGTCAAACATGCCCTGTTTATTGTTAATTCATACAAAACTATTTTCTTATATCCTAAGACATCGATATTTCAAGGCAAGTTATAGGGTAATATATCAAGTGGAGACCACTTAGTACATTTTATTGATTCCTTGTTTTTCAATACTGGGTGATCAATACTACTACTCACAAAAGAAAAGTTCAGTCGCACACCGCAAACTTCGCTGAAAAATGTATTATAGCACAAAGGCATACATCGTCCCGATGTGGATCCTCCTCACTCTGACATGTTTCACCTAATAGTGGGCTTAGTCATAGAGATGGGCAGTATTGGTACCTTATCCTATACACTCATCCCCAGACACAATAATGCTTCTTTCTAGGCTGCCCCATTCCTTCTAGCTAATCATTAGCATAAAAAATACCTAAATGCCCATTTTACTTACCTAAATCCATGATTGCATGATGTTTCTGTCCTCTCCCTTCTCCCATGTGCAGGAGGAGTCTTTTTTTGGGTGTCCACCCCACTGCCTCCCTGACCCCTTGCTTTCATACATAACTCCTGTGTGCTGAGATGCTCTGTGCCAAAGGCTAAATTAGAACAGATAGGGAACGTCTAGACCAGCGGTTCTCAACCTGTGAGTCGGGACCCCTTCGGGGGTCGAATGACGATTTGTCAGGGGTCGCCCGGGAGTCTCCTGCTATTAGGTAGCGGCTCCCGGCCGC